GATCCTGTAACGTAGACATCCCTCTTATCTGACCCTTTTTAGGAGGTCCAACCACCTCCTTCCAGATAAGTGGATCCCATTCTGGCCACGAATCCTTGTTTGACCCATGCTTCTCCACATATTTTGGTGAGCATCATTCTATTTCAAAAATAAAATTTTCATTGGTTAGCAATTTCAAATGATAATGGGAAATCAAATGAAAAATAATCATTTTCTGAGTACAATGGATAAAAAATTGTATCACTTTTCTTCTTTTAGGGCAATATGACATTAAAAATAAATAAAATTAATACCATAAAAGAATCAAATTCTTACATATGTCTGCTCAGCTTGTGGACATATACAAGTGGGTGGGGCATCTTTTGGAGCATCAGGTCAGTGAGTCGTGTGCGTCAACAAGTACGACTCTAAAGGTGTCAACTTAACTCCTCCTCTTTTAGTTGCCTATTAAAACATCAATAAAATCAATAACATTTCCATCTTTGTGGTAAACAAAAATAATTTATATATGTGTATATATATATATATATAAGTATATCCTACTAACCAGTCGATCCTCATAGATCCCAATAGAAAGGCATCCAGTTGTGTGGGTCACACGATCACCCTTTGCTCAGTTTTGCCAACCTCTTTCCAGGAGTGCAATATATTTTGGACTCCTCCATTTTGCCAACAAAATTTTAAAGGTATCCTTATGCATGAACTCGGGCAACTTCTTATGCTTGACCCATGCCTTTCGAGCTCGATGAAGCTTGACAATGTAATCTCCAAATTTGATACACACACAAGCATCATCTTCTTCTCAATAATATGTCCTCTACAATGAAAAAATAATAATTAAATTTTAATAATTTATTTGATTTTTCTTAAAAAAAGAGTAAAATTTTTCTTAAATTATCATTTTTTTCACTATTAATAAATAAAATATAAAAATTCATATAAAATATACCTTGTACTTCCATATCAAATGCCATAAAATAAAATGATAGCATCTAAATAAATTCTCAAAAAATACTTCATTTTATTCTATAATTTTCATACTTGGAAATTCTCCCAAGCAACCCTCTTCCTTTCCTCAGGCTAGCTAGACCAAAAAAGCACTGGCTCATCATACAAGTACTTCCATATTAGTGTGGCAGTCCTCCCAAACCTCTCATGGCTGAATGTGCCTCGACGATTAACGCTAAGCACCTTCCTTTGACTCAAGTCTGCAGGAGCATTATCTCCTTTATCCAGGCCACGTCCTGTCTCCGGGACAGCACGTGATAGCTCTTCCTCCAGCTGAGCATCTAACTCAAGATCAAGCACAGCAAACTCAGCATCCAACTTAGCCTCCAAATTACGCTCTTCAGTGTCCTCCTCCATTGTTTGCATCATCACCAGTGTACTGGTCATTGTTCAATGGTGGCTGAGTAACAGTGGTTGCTCTTGCTGCAGTTGTGTGTGAAGCTGAGTCAAACTGGAAAGCTGCTATTGTGCGGGAGGCTAGCTCAAGCTGGGCAGCTACTGCTGTGTAGGAACAGCCCTACGAGGCCTTCGAATAAGACAATAAAGTGGGCTCTATGGTTCTCCCTCTGGATCAACCTGCTATCTAGAAGAAGATGCACCTCGCGTACCTCGTCTCATATCTGTATATAAAAGATAATGGAAACAAATCAACTTCCTTTTCATGAAGAAAAGCAAAAATTTTAAAGAATAAAAAAAAAACAGAATATAAAAATATTCAATTAATAACTTTTAGATTAGATAAAGATATAACAACAACCAAACTCATTAAATAAGTTCAACAGTTTAATACAATATGAAAAAAAAAAAATCATACATTTGATTAAATGAGAATTTAAAAATGAGATAAAAAATAAAAAATATAAATATCAATACACAACTAAATATATATAAATAACTATAAATGTATGAAATATATATTTATAAGTAAATTGATATATATATCTTTAAAAATATAATAATATATAAATATCAATATAAAGAATTATAGCAAACATATTGATATAAATATAAATATAAAAGTTATTAATGGAAACACATAATAAAGAAAATATAAGTAGTCCTTCATTCCTTGTTCAATTAATTAAAAAAATCAAATAAGATACATTTAGTCACAATCACTCTCGGTTAAGTAATTTGAAACTTCTTCTTCCGATGTTTCCATTCCATCAAACTCTTCCTCTTCATCATCATCCTCACCCACACATTCTTCCTCTGCCACATATGGCAATTGCATGACCTCACTAATCACCACTTGTTCTCCCCCTTGAGATGCTAGTGAAACATGATCATTTAAAACAGTCAAGGGTGCACCAATTGTGGCATAGGAGGATCATCATCTTGATAATAAACATTTCCACCATCACTCAACGATGAAGTGTCAATTATTGCTCTTGCTCTAATCTTACATACAGCAAACCACCCTTTTCTATAAGGATTTTGAGATGGGTAATGGGCATAAAACATTTGTTGAGCTTGACTAGCCAATATGAATGGTTCATCTATTTGTAATTTAAACCAAGGATTTATGTCAACTATACCACATGTCGGATGGACCACAATGCCTTTGTTGATATCATACCTCTCACACTTGAACAAAATCACTGATTGATGAACATATGAGTCAAAATACTATAGGTCAATTATTTCCTTTAAAGTCCCATAATAATCTGACTCATCATTGAAAGTGGTTCCCTTCACACAAACACTGCTATTCATGGTTTTTTTATTTTGTCCATATGCGATAGTATGAAACCGGAATCCATTAACCCAATGACTATTGTATACCCTAACGTTATTGATTGGACCAGTTACTAAAGGCAAAATGCGAGAATCAACCTCATATCTTCCACTATGCACCTAGATTTGTTATAAAAATATTTAATATTTAATCCTAAAATATATAAAAATTGAGATCTTAATAGTAAAAATTATTAAAATAAATTACTTACCGTTGTTTTAAACCAAGGAATAAATTCAAATTGCCATTTGATTTGAATTTGATCGTTTGATAGACCAAAACATACTTGATATTCAAAAAGCCTACATGAAGAAGTTGAAGTAAATAATCTATACATACTAGTAACTTAAACAAATGAAAGTTAGAACTAGAGAATATACGCAATCCATGGATTAACTTCTTCACAATTAAGCAAAACATAAAGTTCTGTTGCCTTTAATTCTTTGGGTGACAATGCACGCATACGCATTTCTCCACCTAGTGGTTGACCTCAATGTTTAAAGACAGACAAACAATTATCTATATCATCATTCACGCCAACAATGTTTCTTGGTTGACAATTCAATCTTGTCTCTATGTCAGATCCAAAATAATATGAGCAAAAGAAGGTAATTTCTGAAAGAATATTAGACTCGCAAATCGAAGTTTCAACACGATTTTTGTTCAACATTATTTTCTTAAGGTCATGCATTTTTCTATTAAACAAATAAGAAAATTAATTAATAACATTAAATTATTAAATATGCTCGTGAATGTTATCGTGATGCAAAGATATATTAGAAAAAATATACCTTTCAAAAGGATACATCCAACGAAATTGGATTGGTCCTCCAACTTTTGCCTCATATGATAGATGGATAGCCAAATGCTCCATTGAGTCAAAGAATGCTAGCAGGAATACTTTCTCTAGCTTGCAAATGGTCTCAACAATTTTTTCCTCCCACATCTTCATGTTACTGACTTGAATAATCGGAGCAATTAAAGCTCTAAAAAAGTTAGTAATCTCAGTTAAGGGACCCCAAACTTCATCTATGAGGAAATCACGAAAAGCAATTGGCAAGAGACGCTACATGAATACATGACAATCATGGCTTTTCATCCCAAACAATCAAAGTTCCTGCATGTTAACACATCGTGCTATGTTCGATGCATACCCATCTGGGAATCTTAATTCCTTCAGCCACTGATAGATAAGAGCTCGTTGCTCTCGAGTAAGAACATATGTAGCATTGGGTTTTATAACTGTTCCATCATCTTGAGGTATCAATTCTAATTCAAATATATTACAATACAGTTGTAGATCCAATCTAGCATTGGTGTTATCCTTCGTACAACCCTTGTCATCCATGACAGTATTTTTAATGTTATCTAAAAAATTCTTCTCACAATGCATGACATCAAGGTTATGACGAATCAATAAATCCTTCTAGTATGGCAATTTCCAAAATATACTACGTTTCACCCAATTATGAAAAACACCAAATCCTGCAATTGAATGTTTATGAAGTGGCTGACCAAAGAATATGTCAGGGAGTTGATTAACCCTTTCTTTCATCAAAGTACCATCTAGTCTTGGGGGGGGGGGAACAGCTCTTTTCAACTCTATTGAGATAAAAAATTTTCTTATCTCTACGAAATGGATGTTTAGCAGGTAGAAATTGACGATGACAATCAAAAAATGATGTTTTCCTCCCATATTGAAGTTGAAAAGCCTTAGTGTTCTCCATGCAATAAGGGCATGACAACTTCCCATGTGTGCTCCATCCAGATAACATGTCATAAGCTGGAAAATCACTTATAGTCCATAGCAATGCAACTTTCATGATAAAATTTTGTTGTCTGAAACTATCATAAGTTTCAACCCCATTTGTCCACAATTCCTTAAGTTCATCAATTAATGGCCTAAGCATGACATCAATGTTTTTTCCTGGTCTTTTAGGTCCAGCAATTATCATGGAAAGAAATATATGCTCTAACTTCATACACAATTCAGGAGGAAGGTTGTACACAGTGTTTTGAAACTCGGACTGGACCGATCGGTTCGACCGGTCCGACCGCCGCCCGGAGCATGAAACGGGCTGGGTTGACACCCAGGACCGTTTGGACGGTTGGCCCGACCAAACCCGGAGAACTCGTTCCACCCGTCTCGCTCGGACGGCCTGGCAAACCCGCTGGGCGAATTGCTCCAAGCTTGACAGCACCACCGACGCACAGTCTGCAAGTTTTTTTTTTTTTTTTTTCCCACAATCGGGGTTTCTACTTTCTAATTTTATTCCATTCTCTGATTCTCAACTCTTCCAATTCCCAATCTCAACTCTTACCAGTTACCACAACCAAACAAAATCAAAAAACCCACATCATCCATCGTCCATCTGTAGATCGGGTAGCAAATCTTCATCATCCATCGTTCTCCTTCTTGGCTTCTCCACTCCCCAGTCTCCATTCTTCAGTCTTCGTCCTTTTTTCGGCGAAAAAGAAACCACAAGGCAGCAGATCGGGCAGCAGATCGGTGTTCAGCGTCTCTCCAGCAGATCGGTGGTCAGCAAGCAGCAGATTGGCGTTCACCCACCAGCCTTGATCCACCACCAGAGGCCTTCACCGTCGCGTCCATCCGAGGGTGCTGCCGGTCAGTTGGACGAAATCTGTTTCTCCACTGAAAAGTCTGAAATATAAATCGATTTTTTTTTCCAACTACAGTGAATGTAAACTTATAAAGTGTGAAACAGTGGCTATTAATTATAATTAATTAATTATTTCATGAAAATTTGTTAAATTAGATTTACTTTACTTATAAATTTTGAAACAGTGGCGTTTTGATTGACACGGCCGGTCGGTCAGCTGAATCAGTCGGACCGGCCAAATCGAGAACCGATGAGCAAATCGGTTCAATCACCGATCCGGTTTTAAAAACCATGGTTGTACACTGTAAGAAAAACAGACCAACAAGAGTAAGGTGTCGCAGAGTAACCAAATGGATTGAAACCATCTGTATAGAGGCCAAGTTTAACATTTCTAGGTTCATCAACAAATGTTGGGTGGGTTTCATCAAAGTGTTTCCATGCCTCACTACCCGCAGAATGAATAACTTCATCCGCATCCTCACGGCATTTCAAATGCCATGTCATGTGCTCTACTGTATTCCTAGACATGTATAGTTGCTGCAATCTTGGGGTAATTGGAAGGTATCACAAAGATTTCCTTGGAACATCTTTTTGCCTTATAGCAGACATATTCCTCGGCTCATAATGGGATTCTCCACATACTGGATAAGCAGTTCAATTCTTACTTTGCTCATCATAGTACAAGAAGCAATCATTGACACAAATATCAATTTTCTTGTACCCAAGTCCAAGCACATTTATCATTTTTTTGGCACTGTAAAAATCCTTTGGCACCTTTTCTTGGTCCTCTAGACTCAACAACTTTCGACTCAATGACAATGCCATATCCCAATTAGCAGCACTCATATTATAAAGAGTTTTCATGTTTAGCATTTCTATCATCCATGAAAGTACTGTAACATCCTATCCCCCAGCACCTATATGAACTTCTGCAGCATGCAAGAGATCATAAAATTCTCTTGCCTTATTATTTGGCTCCTCAGCCATTGGCCCCTCATTGTATTCAGATTGTGCACCCATTGCATCAACTACCATTTCATGGTATAATGCATCTACCTCATTTCTAACAAACTCCATATTAGAAGACTCCCCTTCAAAGTTTCTTACTGTATTGCTAAATGTCTCTCCATGGACATACCATGTATAATAGTTATTCATAAACCCATGCTTAAATGCACAGAGACAACCTCAGGATTCTCCCATTTTCTACATTTACATTTCGAACAAGGACACTTAATCTCTGATTTTGCTTTCGGTCTTGAAAATGCAAATCTCACAA